TAAGATCTATCTACATGATAATAAGTGAATTCCATTAATTGTTGGGAAAAAAGTCAGTTCTGTAATAGAATTAAATCATTGTCATAAACAATTTTTATGACATAATATAATGAATCATAAATTATTCCTATTGAAATGTTTTTATGTTCATAATGGATAGACGATCACATATTTCTACTTTCTCTGTTTGAATTGTAGTTTTTAAATTAGCGAACTTACAATTTTGTAACTTCCTTACGCCTGTTACCCCTCATAGATGAGCTTAGGTCACCCACCAGCAGTCCCAACTAACTCTGTTCTAGAAAATCCTTTCTAGTTGCTGTTCATTCTTTTGATATCCGATTCCAATTCCTAAAGCAATGTGTTCTTTGGCTTTCTTCTTTTTCGATTCTATTCAGGATTCCAAGTCAGGGCATGCCTTGTGATGTAATTTGATGATTTCCTCAATGTGTGTCCTATCCACCTTCACCATCTTTTCCTAATTTCCTCCTCAACTGGATGTTTATTAGTTGTTTCCTATAGTAGAATGTTGTTAATGGTATCCGACCGACGGACATTCAGTACGTTACATAGAAAATTGTTTATAAATGCTTGTACATAAATTATGGTAGTTGTAATAGTTCTCGAGGTTTCAGCTCAGTACAACTGAATTAATTTCCACGATGTTCGTACTGAAGATTATGACTTTGATATTGATTGACGTTTGTTTTGAGTTTCATACATTCTTCAACTGTGGGAATCTTATTTATTTATTTAATTATTTGAACACATAAATATTGGTACAAGAGGGCACCAAATATATATGCGCCACACAAAACAATCAGAATTCGAAGAGAGAGAAAAAGAACAATAACGAACAGATTAGTGTAGGGTAGTGTAATAGTAATAAAATAATGATAATAGTAATAATAGGGGAAACGAAAAGGTACAATCAGAAGAAATCCTTTAGTTAAGGAAGAAACAACCATTTTTTACGAAGAAAGTAAAAGAAGGTTACAGGAGGATTGCCACTAGCTTCTATTCTGAGCGATATCTGATAACGTCTCTAGCCACTGTGTTGCACCATCTCTAGGACCCCAACCAGGGAGTCGTGAAGGATCAACAGAAGCCAGCCCTTCGCAGCTTTCTTTCATACCACGACACCAACGCCAGCAAGACCAGACGAAGATGCCACAGGGTCCCTGGATAAACGCACGTAAGACAAGCTTTTTGAAGCGACAGATGAAGAGCGAATTTGTAGTACTTCACTAGAGTCTTGAATACGGGTCTCGGATAGACAACAAACTTCGATATTAAGACTTTCCAAAGACATAGCCAGCCCTATCTGTTGTCCGACCTGCATAAGTGTGCGAAGGTTGAAGGCAGCCAGTTTGTGTGGTATACGTGGTTTCAGTAAATCTGCTTCAGTATTTGTATTTAGTGGTAACATACAACTTTCAACTGAGCAATGAATGTTTAGATAGAACCGAGTTTCCACCATAGGCAAGCTGCTGTATAAGTCGGAAAATAAAAATACATAAAGTGGGAATAAAAGAGAATGAATAAATGACGTAAAAAATAATAGTAATAATAATAATAATGTGAATCGTTTGATTGTTGATCGAAGCAAGACAAGTATTTTCCATAAATATCGACATCTCATCATTTTTTGTGATGATACTGTCAGGGTGCTCAGACCGAAGCAGGTAGTTTTCTTAGGGGGCTACACCCCGAGCGTTTGACCTAAAGGTCTGATCCACAAGGCAGTAGAGCATCATGAGGAGATGCAGTCCGATGGTAGCCGGTGACCAACGATTGGTTCATATGCCATTTGTACAGATGAAAATAAGGACAGATTTGAGTAATAATTTGCATTTAGTTATTATATATAAACTTATGTATGTCAATTCATATCCGAAATCTATATTAGTTATGACGTAGGATACTGTCAATGAATCCAATATTAGAAGTTTTTAGCTATCCATTGTGTTATATCTTGATGAGGATTAAATTACAAGTAACATCTGAGACCTATTAATGTACTAATATTATCTATATATTCTTATGGTATAAATATTCAGTAACTAGATTATGTATATCTGTATTCATCTTATTATAAGCTTCATTTTGATCTATAGACTATTATGATACAATTTAATGTTCCCAAGTCATGTTCAATTTATTGATTACAATCTCCCATGTTCACAGCCACTTTTTGGCTTGATCTTGTATAAATGTCATTTTCTGTTTTATGATGTGATGCGGTCTGTTTGGTTGGTATATAAATCAGCTATGTTTGAAATAAATGATTCGCATAGTAGAAGCTGTCAGTAGCGTTCTGGACTAAACTGGCAGTGCTAGGAGGGAAAAAGACAAATAAGGATACTAGGCTGCTTATACCGGTCGAACGTCATTGGTTTGGCACAGTGCTTAGATTGTATATGTGATATTTTGATTAGTGAAAAATTTCGCGGATCGTTTGAAGTTAGACAATAACACCGTTGGATGCCGGCAGACTCTGTGGTCTAGAGATTAAACGTTCGCGCTAGAGGCCGATAAATTCTGAGTTCGAATCTCGCTAGGCGGGATCGTCTATGCTCACTGCTGAAGAGCCCCACAAAATAGGACGAAACGGCCGTTCAGCGCTTCCATGTTTTCGATGGTGGTCTAACATCATTTGATATATATAACAAATAAATATATATTTGATTAGAATCAGAAAGGGTTGTGCGGATATTATAGTAATTTTAAAAGTTGAGGTCATGAATCAATTAAAGCTAGATCAACATAAAAAACCTGGAAACACTGGACGGCCATTTCGTCCTTTGCGCACAGCCTGTCCAGTGTTTCCTAGTTTTCCATATTGGTCTCGCTCATGATCTCAACTATTGAAATGAAAAATTCTTCAATGTTTTTAATTCTTTTAACAAATATTTCCTAACTGAAATAACAATCAAAGATACTCTGTTTTCTATAAAGCTTGATATCTATTACATAATATATTATTTATATTTACTTTTGGATAACTACTATCCAACTGGCTTTAAAAAATATGTGTGTGTGATCATTTTGTTACCATATGTTACCATATGTTCATTCTTTGTATCGATTTTTTTAAAAAACAAAAAACATGATTGTCATCAGTCGAGATTATCATACATCAGTACAGTTGTGGTGTGTGTTACTGATATCGACAGATATAAGTTATATGTATCATCAATCAAAAGTGATATACCTAGCAGTAGAAGGTTAAGAGAAAATCGAAGAGAAGAGAACAAGAACATAGAATGATTATTGTAAATGTGAAGGAACAATGAAGTCTGAGACAATTGATTGATATTTTCCAAATGGTTCTCAGATTTAACTAAGATATTCTGTAGTGTTTGGTTGTCCCCACTTGTATTCTCATTCACTACAATGATAATCAAAACTTTGTATTATATAACTAATAAAATTAAATGAATCACTTTGGATTCATTGAAGAATCATACAACATACTGTGATATGTGTATATAAAGGGGAAATAAATTGTAGAAATAAATGCCTTAGCAACAGAGTTCTATATCAAAAAGGGGGGTTTTATGAATATTGTAGTAATTTAATAGTTGAAATCATGAGTCGATTGAATCTAGACCACCATGATCTCAACTATGAAAGTACTATAATATCCATAACAGCCCTTTTCTGAGATTAATTCAGCATATACTCACTAGTGACTGACTTCAAGAGGTATTTTCTGTAGTTTTAGTGAGAAGCCGTGATCAGTGAAGTTCAACCGGATCTGTTTTGAGATAGTAACTCACTGAAGATAATGGTGGATGTCGTTCAATTTCGTGGATTAGTTGAAGTTAGACATTAACATGATTGGATACTGGCAGGCTCAGAGATCTACATGTTAAGCGTTCGCGCGCGAAACTGATTGGTCCTGATTTCGAATCTCACAAGACGAGATCGTGGATGCGCACAATATGACAAAACGGCTGTCCAGTGCATTCAGGTTTCTCATGGTTTTCTACCTTCAATTGATTCATGATCTTATCTATTAAAGAATCGTATGTGTAAATTGATTTGATATTGCTTACTTAAATCTTCCTAATGATGCTTTAGACTGTTAGTGATCAGTCTCTTATTGACATATGTGTATATTGTGCATATGGCCTTTTATTCACAAGCATTATAAGCGAAGATGGATAGTAGCTAGCAGTGGAATCTAGCAGGCGCGTTTTGTTCGTTTGTACAACGAAAAGAGGATGAAAGAGATAAGGATTAATGTTTTGTTGTCATGGAAATTATAGTCTTTCATTTTTCGAAAAAAAATTACTGCATAAGAACAATATCTTAATTTAGATGTAACAACTTGATTTATTCTTGTTATATGTAAAGAAAATGAGACATTTCCGTTTATTATTGGACTATTCAACTACTTTTAATGAGAATTTTTCGAAATAATTACTAAAGTATTTTGATGTACTAGAAATCACTTTACGCGTTAATGGTTCAGTAGTGGACATTAACTCGCCCTGAAAGAGTGCTAATGATTATGTGTATTGCATGAAGTGCATGAACGAAAGTCTTTGTATTGATGGTATATATGTAATGCGTAAGTTGTAGTAAATACGTTTGATGACAGCGGTGACCATTTACCCTCCCAGATGAGTGAAGATACCTATATGTATACTATAGGGGTTTCGAGTGACAATTTATATATTACAGGTATATATGTTACTTATATTTTCTCATAGGGTGAGTATACCTATGTGTATGTCAAGGAATACATGATTACGACGCTTATGCACCAAGACGCTGAAGTTCAAACAATTTCCCTATTAAATCACATCCACGAAATGAACTTGTGAGCTTCTGAAAGTGGATTCTAATCCAAATAGAACAATGGACTTTATCAAATATGACTTTAACTACTTCAAATGATCAGAACATCGCATTGAATTACATCGTTCATGTAGTATACTAGTACTTCAGGGAAATAAGTCAAAAAAACGAACCACCTATTATCTTTAAATGTTTATTTTGCAGTTTTTAATCATAATACAATGATAAATGTATCTCTATATGAATTAAATGATAACATGATGTAATTAATCTATTTATTGTTTTAATAATACGGTCTATATTAGATTCAAATATGATCGGTTATTCATTAGATAGATGATTAATTTATTTACCAAGTCTTTGTGATATATAATATTTTCTTTTCATAAGACGTCGAACTAATGAATCACGTAGATTTGGATAATAATATTGATCAAGTTCATCATGTGTATATGGTAATTCATAAGGCATAAATGGATATCGTTCCATTTCATTTTCAGGTGCCGCCACAGCACATTTAACTTTGACCAATGAAAATACAATAGATAATATTGACAAGATTAAAATTGATTTAAGCATTATTGGTGAATCTAAATGAGAATGAAAAAGAGAGAAGAAAAGAAAAGAATGTTCAATATTATAAAAGGTTCTAAGTATTTACGGATAATATAATAATAAGATTATCTTAGTTACTTACTTACGCCTGTTACTCCTCGTGAAGGAGCATAGGCCACTCACTAGCACTCTCCATCCAACCCTGTCCTGGTCAAACTTTTCCAACTCTTTCCAGTTGTTATTCATCCTTTTCACGTCTGCTTCCATTTCATGACGTAATGTGTTCTTTGGCCTTCCACTTTTCCGCTTCTCTTCATGATTCCAAGTTAGGGCTTGCCTCGTGATGCAGTTTGATGACATCTGTAATGTATGTCCTATCCATTTCCATCGTCTTCTAATTTCTTCTTCAGCTGGAAGCTGGTTTGTTCTCTTCCACAGAAGGCTGTTGCTGATGGTATCCGACCAATGGATGTTGAGTATCTTGTATAGACAACTATTTATAAATACTTGTACCTTCTTGATTGTGGTTGTTGTAGTTCTCCAAGTTTCAGCTCCGTACAGTAGAATTTTCTTGACGTTGGTATTGAAGATTCTCACTTTGATATTGGTTGATAGACAGTTGTTTTGAGTTTCATATATTCTTCAATTATAGGAATGCTGTCCTTGCTTTGCCAATCCTCGCCAGGTACATGAAAGATTCCATATCTTCCAGAGTTTCGCCATCAAGTGTGATTAGGTTGGTGTTTTCCAACAACAAGATGAAAGTTCCTTGAATGAAATGAGTCAATTCATTTTGAACAAGTTGAAGTATATGGTTGACGATTCCTGAAATACCATCTAAATTAACTAAAACATTTTAAGATAGTTTACTGAACCAATTGATATCATTGAAGAAACCAATGAAAATAATAAAACAATAAACAAGTTATTCATCTCAGTTCAAAACAGTTATTTGCAAGGTTGTTTTTCTACCAACGTCAAGACAGTTCTATTGTACGGAGCTGAAACTTGGAGAACTAGCAGAATCATCATTAAAAGTGTACAATAATTTATAAACAATTGTTTACGTAAGATATTCAGTATCCGTTGATTAGATATCATCAGCAACACCCAACTGTGATAGAGAACAAACCAGCTTCCAGCTGAGGAGGAAATTAGCAAAAGAAGGTGAAGGTGGATAGGAAACACATTGAGGAAATCATCAAACTGCATCACAGAACAAACCCTAAATTTTAAACTTGAAAGGAACCAGAGAACAGAAATATCAAGGAACACATTAACTTGAGACTTGGAAGCAGACATGAAAAAGATGAATAGCAACTGGAAAGAACTGGAAAGGGTTGCTCAGGACAGAGTTGGATTAAAAGTGCTGGTGATCGGCCTATGCTACTTCATGAAAGTAACAGGCGTAAGTATGTAAATAAGCAAGTAAGTGAGTAGGTAAGTTAAGCAGATGGAAATAGAAAGATATAAAAATGATAAACAGTAAGCTTGTCAATATTGTCCTTTCAGTAATGTAAACATATTTTGTCTAGACTATATCATCAATATAAAACGACTTTCTGCGATAAAAATACAACATCTGTGAAAAAAACCCATTTCAAGTATAAATAAAAATAAAAATACATTTGTAAATATTTCAAATGAGTACAAAAATTAGACTTTTTGACGTTTCATCACTCAGTATGAGCCACTTCTTCAGAGAATAAATCAATAACCAAATCATAATTAATCCAAGTTTAAATAGTACAACGGAACAACTCAAGAATATTAGGTGTGATTAATGAAAACATGGTCGGACCAAGTTAATGTCTTGTCATTTCAGTCAAAGTGATTTATCAGCGACGAGTATGTAAATGTGTGTGTGTATGCAGGGTCAGGGATGAAAAATGTAACCTTTGTGGTGAGGATGGATAGAGTTTAATTTGTATGCACGATAATAATGTAAAATGTGAATATTATGAGATATGGTAGCTTGGATAGACAGTCCAAATCGGATGGATATTGAATGCTTTTGATTGATCGCACCTAATATTTCTGTGTTGTCATTTTGTACTAAATAAACTTGCATTAATTTTGTTTTGGTTATTTACTTATTCTCTGAAGACTTGACTCATACTGAGTGAAGAAACGTCAGAAAATCTAATTTTGATACTCATTTGAGATATCTACAAATATATTATTTTTGTTAATAATAGACTACCAATGAAAATCTGAAAGCACTGGACGGCCGTTTCTTCCTATTGTAGGACTTCGCAGCAGTACGCATAGGACGAAATGACCATCCAGGGTTTCCAGATTTTCTATGTTGGTCTAACTTAAATTGACTCATGATCTCAACCATTAAAATTACTATAATATCCACAAAACCCCTTCTGATTCTAATGAAATATATATTTCTTTGTTATATATATATCCCAAATGAGTAGAAGAAAAGTTATATTTCTAATGACATTTCGTGACTTAATATAAGTCACTTCTTCAGAATAAATAAATAACACATTATTTCCTTTATACTATTTAAACTTGTGTTAATTTAATTTCAGTTATTTATTTATTCTGAAGAAGTGGCCTAAATTAAGTCACGAAACGTCGTTAGAAATACATTTTCTCTATTTATTTGGAATATAACTATCCACTTAATACTAAGTTTATTTAAAACTAGCAAGTTCACCTTTAGCATTGATACCTTATGAAATGAACTAATTTCTTTGACCATAAATCCACTTTTTTGTTGTTGTTGAAATCTTACTCTCATGACATATGATTATGATTGTCGAAATATTGAGGAAATTAGGTTAAATTATAAATCATTCATAATCGATTAGATATTTATTAATTTCTTTTTGTATAAGACAATGGTGGACGGTGACTCAATTTCGTTGAAGCTAGATATTAACAACGTTGGATGCTGGCAGGCTCAGTTGTCTAGACGTTGATCATCCGTGCGCGAGATCGATAGGTCTTGGGTTCGGATCTCGAGAGGTGGAATTGTGGATGCTCACTGCTGAGGAGTCTCGTTGTGGGACAAAACGACCGTCCACTGCCTCTAGGTTTTGAGATGGTGGAGAAAATTTGTACCTCAGGTGGATGATTTTGATGGGGTTTTGTTCTCTGAGCTGAATGGTTTGATCGTAGCTTTCATCGTTCTTCTGAACAACATCATCAACGACATCATCAAACCAATGGGAGATACAATAAAAAAAAGAAGTAAACAATGATAGTTTTAAGGTCAACAAGAACCAATCATTATCGAAATGTACAGGACAAGCTGTGAACCACATGTGGAGAAATTCGAACACTTCACTTCTACCTGAAGTTTGTGCTGATGATGTTGTTCAGAAGAACGATCAAAGCCCAACGACCAAACCATTCAGCTCAGAAAACAAAACTCCATCACAAAGCTTCCAGGTTTCCTATTTCGGTCTAGATTTAATTGACTCATGAATTCAATTATTCAATTACATATATTACTCTTTCATTTGAAATTAAGTGGTTATATTAAGATTTGATAGATTGTTTTGTAGTTGTCAAAACTTAACAGTGCGCATTCACAATCCCGCACTCAGGACCTTTGATCTCACGCGTTAGCGCTTAACTCCTAAACCACTGGACCGGCATCCAACGGTGTTAATGTTTTACATCGACCAATCAACAATGTTGCGCAACCGTCCATCATTATCTTCAGTGAGTAACTGCTTCACAATAGATACGGTTAGACTTCATTGGTCACTGCTTAAATTCCTACAATTTCCACAAACCCCTATTCTGAAAATAATTTATTTACTTATAAAACAAAAAACAGAGAAGTATTCTTGAAACTATAGTGAGAAATTGTAATCTGTGATATTCAGCAATGTTGGCCGTGAGGCAAATACATTTGAAGTTAACGGATTCTGCCTATTCAATATTATAGCTTCACGATTATCTGCTTGGTGAATTTACTTCCTATAAAATGGTAATCTTATACGTAATAAATTGACCACGATATATTAGATCTGCTATATAAGGGTCAATTAATCACAATGAGGTGTTTCGATCTGGTCACAATTGATTGATCACTGGGTGGTGATCAATGACATGTATGTCAAGTCCTTATTTAGTGCAGATCGAATGCTATCGATTATGTTGCAATATGGCCACCAGTCTGGGTGACTCGATACTGCATGCACTATATATTGAGATTAGACTATGGTTGGAGGTAGTCGATAGGAAACTCTGGACCCGGGTTTCGTGCTACTTGGCACTCGTCAGCAAGGTTTACCTATAATCTTCAGGGAACTGGTGCTCCCTGTCGGATGCGATCTGGTTCATATTTGGAGAAAAAACTATCCTCCTATAAGTTATGAGCAAATATTATAAATAAATATTTATTCAGTCATAATGCTTGCTTCATGATAGTTTCGTAAACTCATAATTAAGCTTAACTAAGATTATTATTGAATTCCGGCTGTAGCTGTTCTAGGATTACTGCCAGTCCCAAGTCCGTGTAAAAAAGAAGGGTTAGGTATGGGGTCGGCAACTTCATCCCTCAAAAAACGACCTTGCTAAAAATGATCACTAACCAGAATAAACAATTTCTACCATTTAAACTCCGCCTTGGGATTTGAAGGAAGATTTATGACACCTCATCACAAAAACCAAGATTGGGGATTGGAAACGGACATGAAAATGATCAATAGCAACATGAATAAACTGAAAAGGATTATCCTGGATGGAGTTGAATGGAGAATGCTGGTGAACATTCTATGCTCCTCCATGAGGAGTAATAGGCGTAAGTAAGTAAGTAAGACAATTATTGACCATCGACTTACCCACAAATTTTTTTCAAAATTCTATGGCGTTATTTCGAATACTCTACACGTAATGATAAAAAATATGGATTACTGCCAAACCAAAATTCAATCTTCATAGCTTATACACAAATTTTATATTTTGTCAAAATTACAGATTTATTCAATAGCGATTTGAATGGAATGATTTGTGATTCAGTAGAATCAAACAGTTAACATAAAATGGAGATGATAATGTGAATGAATTAGCAAATTGGTTGAGATTAGACATTAAAACCGTTGGATGCTGACAGACTCAGTGATTTATATGTTAAACGTTCGCGCTCAAGACCGAAGGTCCTTGGTTCGAATCCTGCGAACGGGATCGTGGATACACAGTGCTAAAGAGTCCTATAATAGGATGAAATGGTCTATCAAATGCTTCCAGATTTTCAATGGTGGTCTAACATCAATCGGCTCATGATCTCAATTCAATATTTATTATCCTATAGAACTAAAGTAAAGGTAATTGATCGAATCCTGGTACACCGTGAAAGTATAGTTCTTTAATAGTCGATAATGATTAGAATAGCTTAATAGTCGTACTAATCTTTTTAATTCCATAACTATATGGTACAGATATAATCCATTGAAGAATTGTGAATTGCATATACTACTTATACAGATTATCATCATATTAGTTCAATATCAGGTCATTGTTATTGTTAATCTAAGAAGTATATGTATACAAAGCATTAAAACAACAAAACTAGACTATCTAAAACATATTGAGTTAGTTATAACAGTTTAAATCACTTAACGATACAATAATACAAATATGGATTTCTTTCTATGAATGAATTAAACTAAGCGTTTGGTATAAGACAAAAGAAAACAAACAAACAAACAAAAGACCATCATTTATGGATTCAAATGTTTTTTTGAAGTTATTCCATGTTTATAAAAGAACCGCCTACATTTAGCTGTTATAGACCGTATGAAGATATGTACATCTCAATGGCTTTGTTAATATGAACTTGATGATATTGTCTTTCATCGTCCCCAACAGTTAGCAAGTTCAGTTATAAAGTTTGATCATAACTGTTTAGAAATTTTTGTGAGACGATTAGAAGTGTCAATGTTCATTAGGTTCATAGTACTTCTAAAGTATGTAGATGTCAAGGATTCTGTAATCGAATGGGATAATATCCATATATGTATAAGATCTTTTTCTGTATCATGCATTATAGAATGTAATGTAAAATTCCGTAGTTATCTTGAAGTGAACGAGAACAAAGGCAGGGATAACCAAATGTATTTTAATACAACGTTACAGAATATCTTAGTAAAATATGAGAACCATACAGTAAACACTTCATTTGCAATATATCCATCAATTGTCAAAAACCATGTTGTTCCTTCGCCTTCATACCAGTCACTCACTGTTTTCCTCCTCTTCCCTTCTCTTCTCTTCGATTTTCTTAACCTTCTGCCACTAAGCATTTCACTTTCAATTGATGATATATACTACTTATTTTTGTCAATATCAGTAGCACACACCACAATGATTCATCTTTTTGTATCTTAGCTCATCTCAATGATGTATTCTATCAATAATAGGTGATAATATCAGTGAACTTTGAATTTTTATTTCTATCTGAAGATATACTCTTACCTTAGCTTTCTTTTTGTTTATACCAAAATAGGACGAAACGGCCGTCCAGTGCTTCCAGGTTTCCAACGGTGGTCTAACATCTATTAATTCATGATCTCAACCAAAAACTTAACAATCTCCACAACCCCCATACTGATAATTAACATGTGCTCACTAGTGACTAGCTTCGTGAGGGAATTCTCGGAGTTCTAGTGAGAAGTCGTGACCAGTGGAGCTAATCCGTGTCGGGTAGAGACAGGTATCTACCTCAGTACAATGGAAGGTGGTCGCGCAATTTCGTGGATCGGTTGATGTTAGACACTAACACCATTGGATGCCGGCTCAGTGGTCTAATGGTTAAGTGATCAAGCGCGAAGCCAGTAGGTCCTGGGTCCAAATCCTGTGGGGTGCGGGATCGTGGATGCGCACTGCTGAGGAGTCCCATACTAGGACGAAACGGCCGTCCAGTGCTTCGAGGTTTCCAACGGTGTCTAACATCAATTAATTCATGATCTCAAACAAAAACTTAACAATCTCCACAATCCCCATACTGATATACCAAAATGACTTATTAACTAAAGACTAAAGACTGGTTATATATATAACTTATCCTATAAAGACATATATCCCAGAGATAAAACGTTAATTTCAGTGTTTCAATATTTGTTTGTTTGTTTTTATGTTAGACAAACAAACATTTCAGTTTGACATTCCCATATTGTAAATACAGAACAATATAGATATAAGTGAACAATATTGTTTTGGATTAGATCCTCATTATGCTTTACTCTAATATACAGTAATATTTATATGTATATATGAAATTAATTAAACCAATCAAGGTGGTTTATGAGTTAGTGATAACAGTGGAATAGATTACATAACTAAAGATAATAGGTGGGAAGTACAAATGGATAATGTGATGACAGGTGTACTAGATGTGTTCGATTTAGTATTTTACACATAGCAGAAGCTATAGGAATTCGAGTCAACAATCCAAGTCTTTGTGTTCAGAAGAAATTTGTAACACCTTTATTTCTCTAATGACTTTAATGAATGACCTTAGTTACTGTTATTTTCCATACTACTTCTTTGTTTTATTTTTCTTCACCCCTTCCCACTTTTTACTTTCCTCAAATATACGCTTCATGGTCCAATTATCCAAACACCACTTATTACGTAATCTTATAGTAATTTTGATGAATGCTATTTCTGTGTTTGTATTTTTTCCCATTATGTAAGATTGGTTCATTCCTTTATTATTCTTATCACATCTAGTACACCTATCATTGCACTACAAACTTTTACTTTTCACTTCTTTAGTTATGTAATCGTTTTCATTGTTATCATTGACTCATAAACTGCATTGATTGATTTAATAATTTCGTATATACGTATGAATATTAATGTGGATTAGAGTAAAGCCTAATGAAGATCTAATCAAAACAAGTAAACATAAATCAATAGTTGAGATCACGAGTTAATAGAAGCTAAACCACTTTGGAAAACTTGGAAGCACTAAAGGGCTGTTTTGTCCTATTTAGTCAATGTCCACATAATTTCTTTCAAAGATTCAAAGAAAAGAACAACATATTGTTTGACTATGATAAGATATATTTGAAGGTGGGACTATAATTTATGAATGACATTTGAGCGACACCAGACTCATCTTGAGAGTGTTCACCTAATATCTAGGACTAAATGAGGGTTATGAATTTGTGTGAAGACTTTGAATTATGATTTATAGTTGATGGTTAAGGTTAGGAATTAGATTTAGGATTTTTCATCACGAACTAACATCAGCTATAATGACAAGACTCTATTTAACCAAATGGATGAGTGGATTTCACGATAAAATCCGAGACCTGTTATCGTAAATCTGATTAGTTCATTCATAGTCTCGCCGATTTGAAATAAAACTTGAATAAATTTACTCCTTACACGAAAAAAAGCCGATGGGATAATAAATTTATGGTGATGGTGCCTAATCTTAAATCAAACAATATTTAGTATAAGGGACTTATAAATAATGACTTAAAATATTTTTCTAAATGAATTCTTCTAGTAACTAGTTATTCTATGGTAACGTATTGTGTACTACTGATGTCGACAATTATAAGTAGTATGTATCATCAATCGAAAGTGAAATGCCTAATGGCAGAAGGTTAAGAAGATCGAATAGAAGAGAAGAGAACGAAAACAATGAATAATTGGTATAGAGATGAAGAAACAACATGTTCTGTGACAATTGATCAATATTTTGAAAATGGTTCTCAGATTTGATCAAGATATTCTGTAATGTTATGCTTTCCCTATTCCTGTTCTTCTTCTCAACAATATTTTTACCTATCGAACATGAAAATATCATTTAGATGATAGTTTGAAATGACCAGATTAATGATCATTGTTTTTTCAACGTTAGTTATAAGTGTTGATTGCCAAATATGAACTGAAAATGATCTCATGGTTAATAACGTGAAGACTATGATCTAACTTGTAATTTGATTTATTGAAGCTTTAGTTAAAACAACTGATCATATTCTACTGTTTCATTAGTGAATAAAACCCAAAAAAAACACTTAAATATCTTGATATTAAGTCTATGATTATTATACAAATTGATGTCACCCAATGAATCCGTTGGCCAGACACTACCAGTAACAACCTACTATGGGAAAGGACAAACCAAATCCCAGAGGAGGAGGAAATCAGGAAAAAGCGCTGGAATTGGACAGGGCACACATTGAAGAAAGCACTGAACTGTGTCACAAGATAAGCCTTGACTTAGAATCCTCAAAGAAAAAGGAGAAGAAGAAAATCAAAGAGCACATTACACCGAGAAATGGAGACAGACTTAAGAAGAATGAACTAAAAAGGAAGGTTCAGGATAGAGTGTGTTGGAGAATGTTGGTCCACCGGTTTATACTCCATTGGGAATAACAGGTGTAAATAAGTACGTAATTGGATATTTAAAAAGAAAAGTGTAGATGAATTGGAATTCAAATATGATATATATACATAATAGAATTGGAGTCAAACAATGTTGCCTACTCTCTCTCTCTGCCTACTTTCTCTTTCTTCTACTTACTGGTTAATTGAATCATGGAAGCTTCCACAATTAAAAAGGAAACATAGTATACAATTATATGGTAACAACTACATAATGAATTCAATTCTATTCATAATTTATATTCGATTTTATTAAGAATAATACATAAATCATATATTACTATAATAATAATAGTAGAAGTAGTAGTAATGCATATTATTAATAATTAATAACTTACATTTGATATTAGTTGATTAGTTGAATACACAATTAGTATACTAAATAGTGATGTATATTTCTATTACTAATATAACTGTTATAAGTAGCTAATTTAATATTCTCTTAATAAAATATAATTTTCATAGGAGAATAAATTAAACTTATTATTTATATAGACTTATGATGATTTTTTTTCCCAAACTTTGATTGGTCAATTTTAACAAACCATTATAAAGGAATGAAGGAATAAATGAAGCAATGAATGAATGAAGCACTGAATAAAGGAATGAAAGAATAAGGCAATGAACGAAAGGATGAATGAATGGATGAAGAAATGAATGAAGGAATGAAGGAATAAGGCAATGGACGAAGGAATGAAGGAATGAATGAAGGAATGGATGAATAAATGAGTGAAGGAACAAATGAAGGAATGGATGAAGAAATGAATGAAGGAATAAATGAAAGAATGAATGAAGAAATGAATGGATGAATAAATCAAGGAATGGATGAAGAAATGAGTGAAGGAATAAATGAATGAATGGATGAAGAAATGAATGAAGGTATGAAGGAATAAGGCAATGGACGAAGGAATGAAGGAATGAAGTAATTAATGAAGAAATGAATGAAGGTATAAAGAAATAAGGCAATGAAAGAAGGAATGAATGAAGGAATAAGGCAATGAACGAAGGTATGAATGAATGAACGAATGAATGAAGGAATGAATGAAGCAATCAATTCTGGAATGCATTAGAATACAGTCGGACATATATAAATCTATATAGAACTTATGAATAAGACAGTTTAAGTGATGGATTGAACATGTTGAAATGTTGTAAATTATATGAAGTAATGATTTTATCCGCTAAGATTTGCTGAATAAAGAAAGTAATATTAAATACCATGTATTCTATTCATTATCTTGGTTTATCAAAGTCATTTAATGGTATAGTTTTTTTTAAAATTATTTTTATATTAACTGTTCAGTGTATGGTGATTATTGTCATGTTTGTTTAATTATTGCAGAGTAGATCACTGAGATCACTAACTTCTTAACTATTAAAGTCTTGTAGGTATTTGAATACGCCAGTTCAGTGAATATTTTATACTTTATCGATGTTACAAGATCATGAATCATAAATATATAGTTGACTTTTGCCAACTTACGTCACCAATGGCGAAGGTGAGATATCCGTCTATCAATTAAAGGACCAGTATACTACACCGTAGTTTGCTCTATTCTACTTTACAGCTGCGAAACGTGGCCAATAAGAGTAAAAGATACTCGTAAGTTACTAATATTTGATCACAGATGTGTTAGAAATATTATTCGAATCTTTTGAGATCACCACCCAATCGCCCTACTTTGGGAAGCCTCTCTAGAAACGTTTGTGGAAATAGCACAAAAAACCCAAAATAGGGAGATTGAGCGGGTATGTATTAGTGAGGTTAGACGCAGGTTATTAGGGAATGATGCTAAATCAGTTAATAAGGTTGTGAGTCTTCATCGACTGAGATGGTTGGGTTACGTGTTACTTATACCTGAACACCGATTAACACGACAAGCAATGCTGACTGGTGTTGGGGTTGGTTTAAAGTAAGTTGGGAGTGGTCAAACCAAAACGTGGTTTAGTGCTTAAAGTCACTAACTTCTGATCTGAGCAATGTTGGTGGATGCAGACTACTACAATCTTTCTTTTATATATTACTACCATTGAAGTGACTAGTTGTATGAATTTAGTGTTAATCTTGTTGTGTTAATGAGGTGTGGCAAGTCGAACCGATGCATATATGTGCCTGATCCTACGTTGTAGTTGATTGACTGAGATCTGTTAATCAAGCCGTATTTTGGTTAGTAGTCCAACTGGTTCCAGATCCCATCCAGTATGTTTTAATGTTAAATAGTTGAGGGCAGTCGAAAGCAAACCACGAGCCTAAATTACGTAATGATTAAAATTCATTATTAGTAAGGCGTAACTGTAATGCGAAAGAAAGTGACATTTCAAGTAGAATTCGATTTGGCATTACGCTGCTTTATAGACTAAAAAACTATTCAGCAAACCATTACGGTAAATATTTTTGTTTAAAAGAAGATCAATCAAGGCATGACTAGCTCACTGGTAGTATCGCAAACTATAAACCAACATAACTCAAATGCGAACCTCAGAGGATGCATAAATCCCTTCAGGAATACAGATGTAACTTACTGACGAATGTCAATAAGCACGAAAATTTAGGTCATAATCCTCCTGTTGATTTCCTTTAATCCTCAAATACTTGTAATTACTTACTAATGAATAATTAATGAATATTATGTTCTATACCCCCCCCCCGAAAAATTAAGAGAATAGTCAATATGTTAGTGATTCAAAGGAAATGAAGAAGGTCAAAGTTAATAAGTTTTATCTGTATTTTATTCATTACGTGATTAAATATACAAAAAATTTTTTAATGTTTTCAAAACTGAATTTTATTTTCGCTTAGTGATTCATTCTTATTACTGTGTTTAAAATCTATTTCAATAGTTGAGATCATAAGTCAAATGAAGCTAGACAATCATGAAAAACCTAGAAACACTGGACGGTTGTTTCGTTCTATTGTGGGACTCTGCAGCAGTGCACATCTACGATCTAGCCTCACGAGATTCGTGAGATAGTAATCCACTGAAGATAATGATGGATATGTGGCTCAATTTCGTGAATTAGTTGAAGTTAGACATTCACATCGTTAAATGCCGGTAGGCTCAGTTAATACATACTTACTACATTAGCCGGCACTAATCACCTTGTATGTAATTAACTATGTTGAAGTGATTTGTTCACCGAATGTGCGTGCATCTTTATTTTTCTTGATTGTTGTAATTAGTTGACTTATGATAATGACGATTTATCGATCATCAGGAGATATCTATTGCCTCTTGGAATATATAATGCAATACTAGCCTAAATTGATAGATTCAATAGGTTATGTTAAGTAACAAATACAAATTCAAACTCTTAATTTGGTGTAAAGTGCTTAGATTCGTTGGTTTTGTATCCTCTCAGGTGAATGGTACATTCGTAAAGCTTTCATTGTTCTTCTAGACAGCATTATTAATAGGTATTTCAAAGAGAAGTGATTCACAAAATGATGGCAAATAAGTATAGGTAAAAAATTCAGTAATACTAAATTACTACTTAAGTTCATGATTTTCCACTTGGTATTATTTTGATTGTCTGATGAATAGAAAGTCTTCTATGTATGTATCTGGGAACCATCATCGGTGAACGAAGAGAATCCGATGCAGATGTAAAGGTAAGAATTGACAAAGCAAGAACAGCATCCCTAGAGATGAAGAATATATGGAACTCAAGACAACTGTCAACCAATAAAGTCACAATCTTTAATACAAACGTTAAGACAATAAGTTCTACTGCACGAAGGTGAAAAGTGGGGAAATACTACAACCATTATCAAAAGTTTACAAGTATTTATAAACAGTTGTCTATGCAAGATACTAAATGTCCGTTGGCTGGATACCATCAGCAACAGCGTACTGTGGGAGAGAACAAACCAGCTTCCGACTGAAGAGCTAGTTAGGAAAAGACGATAGAGGTGGACAGGACACACATTGATAAAATCATCGAACTGCATCATAGAACAAACCCTATATTGGAACGGAGAAGAGAAATACCTAGGAACACATTAACTTGGGACTTGGAAGTAGACATAGAGAGAATGAATTACAACTGGAACGAACTAGAAAGGATTGCATAGGACAGAGTTGGATCGAGAGTGCTGGTATGTGGCCTATGCTTCTCCATGAGGGGTAACAGGCGTAAGTAAGTAATAAACTCAACACAAATCATGTATACCTATTTGTAACTATTTGTTAATTGTTTAATTCACATGAAAAAATGAAATATATTTTCTTAATGAAGAATTCAGAATATTTTAGAACTATGTGATATATACGAATATTCGAACCCCCCTTATGTATTCAAAAACAGTTTGTTCTCACCTTAAACGTACCTTGGTGATTAGGTTTCAAATTGTTTTCACATTATTATTTTCTTTATCACCCCTGTTTCCTCTCACCCTCCATTTCTAGTCTAGTTCACTTTTCATTTTTATATATAAATGATCTTAACAACTATGTAATGTGTGGCCAGATTGCTCAAAATATATTGCAATAATATATATTATCACATAGTTCTGATAATCTTCGTCTACTTCTTATTACACTATCGAAATATACACATGTGGTATATGCTACTTATGTCTGTTGATATAAGTAGTATGTTACATCGATCGGAATTGGGAAATATGGCAGTAAAAGGCTAAAAAGATCAATTTGAAAAGGATAGAAAGAAAAATATAAACGAAGAATCATACAGAAAGTGAAAGAACATTTGATGGAAGATTTCTAAATAAAGTATTCAATGTATGATTCTTATATTTCACCAAGAAATTCTATAATTTCATGTTTACATAATTTGGTTAATGTTCTTATTCATAATTGAAATTATTAAAATCTCCACAAAAGTCCTTCTGATAATAATCATCTGCTCACTAGTGAATGGCTTCAAGTGGCATTTCTTGGGGTTCTAGTGAGAAGCCAGGACCAGTGGAGTTCGATAAGGTCTGTTGTGAGATATCAACTCACTGAAGACAATGGTGTACGGGGGCGCGATTTCGTGGATTGGTTGAAGTTAGACATTAACACCGTTGGATGCCGACTGGCTCAGTGGTCTAATGATTGAGCGCTCGCGCGTGATACTGATAGGTGCTGGGTTCGGATCTCGCAGGGGTCGGGATCGTGGATGCGTACTGCCAAGGAGGAGTTCCATACTAGGGCGAAGTAGCCATCCAGTGCTTCCAGGTTTTCCATGGTGATCTAGCTTGAATTGGCTAATGATTTCAACTATAAAATTACTAAAATCTTCACAAAACACCTTCTAATACATACATATATGTTTATTCACTTTTCACAATGTATATTATTATTATTTTCGTTATTCAATTGCACGCAATGTATTTTCTTCCAAACAACAGTTGACTTCAT